TCATTTCGACAAGCAACAGAAAACTTTAAAGTTAATCAAACTTAAGTCAAAAGCTATGAGTTCTGGCTCAATAGGAATACAATTTAGTGGTGTTGTTGGATATTTGTAAGTGAAAGTTTTTAATTTGATTATATGAATATGAATGACGAGTTTAATATCATATTATTATCAAGAAGAAAAAAAAAATCCTGATTTTATTACAAAGCATTACAAAATTCCATCTCGATATTATGACATGATACTTTTATTAAATTATGAGTTATACTAGATTAGCTCATTGGTTCATGTTACAATGACGCAATCGAGAATATAACATAACTAGGCACTTTATGCAAAAGGATTCCTATAATTTTTCAAAAAATGGGGATTAGATGTGAAGCCCACTCCACATCGAATTTCAACGATCCGAATAGTTTATTTTTTAAGTCTAGATTCATAGATCATCCTTACAAAAATTTAATTTAATTCGAAACTATTTGCCTATTTAATGATCAGGATAAAATTTCATTATTTCTTATATAACAAAATATTCGTTAATTTCTCTGAACATAATTAGATGTCTCAAACTTCTCCGATTTGACTAATATTTTACAAGGATGATCTATGAGGTGTAACTTGAAAAATAGACGGCTCGGATCGTTAAAGTGTGATGTGATGTGGACTCCACAACTAATCTCTATTTTTATAAAAATATAGGGATCTCTTCCCTTAAAGGTTTCTCCTAACATAACAATTCAATATTTGCAATAAATAGATATTTCAAAACAAACACTTGTAAATGGCAGCCGTCAACAAGTATCCATAGTGCTAGTCTGTCATTCTGCAGTCTATGATTAGGATCGAATAACATTGTCCTTGTGATATACTAACAAACTTTCTGAGCATTCGATATAGCTAGGTCCTGCACAGAGAAGAGAAGATATTGCCGATATAAAAGAAATTTTCAGCGCATGTGTGTCTGAGAATCATAAGATCATAAAAGGTGGAAGAATGTCGGGTGAAAGATTATCTTTAAATTTATGCAGGCTCATTTGGGACAAGAGGAGTTGGAAGGAGATGGAGACTGCACTCTATCTCAAAGTGGTAGGGTCAGTGTTAGACAAGAGTCCATGGTACAACGTAATTAGTGAGTATCCTGGAATATTCTCTTTGTAATTTACCACGTATAGGACTCTTGTTGATCATGTACTATAAAACTCGTATACGTTGATGAATGAAAGCAAGTAAATTCCAACTATTTCTCTACCTGTTAAACTCTCTCTCTCTCACTCTCACTCACGTTTATACTTTTTTACGGTCAATTCCCACTCAAAATATTGAACTATGTCTAATTGGTCAATATTTTTAATAGAGTCATGTTCTATTCTAATCTTAGTTACCAAGAGTGTGACTCGAACTTGAGTGCAGAAGAGAAACAGCCGGTCTCGTCATTTTGGCTACCCCATGTCTACTTTTGTAAGAATTAAACTGAAATGCTGGAAATGATGGTTTCTAATTCATTGAAACTGAAACGTTTACAAAGTTGGCAGCTATATTGGGTTGCAGCCCAAAGTCTTGGAGATGGATTTGCATGGTATGGCCTGTGACATCCCGTCCCGAGATTATAAAAACGTACGTGTGAATTTACGATTTTACCCCCTAGTTCGTTACTTTACGTGTAGTTTTGTGTTGTGTGGTGTTGTAGGACCACACACACACTCATACACTCTCTTTCTCTCCCGGGATTCCCTCACTCTCTGTCTCTTTGTCTCTCTCTCTTCTCTCTCTCCCCGAGCTCTCTTCTTCCTCATCTTCTTCTTCCTTCAACATACAAACACACACACAGACAATCAAACCTTCACAAAACAAGAAACCAATTACACCATTGAACTCGTGAGGTTGTGAGGAGCACAACCATACCAATTTCAGGTAAGAAATCTCACGTTTTCACATCGATTCTCTAATGGCCGATTCATGCACTGTTCATGCAAATTTAATCTAGCATGTTTTTGGACATTTTAAGCTTGTAGATGTGTTAGTGAGGTCTCAAGGAGCTTGGGAATGCTTCGTTGGGTGAATTTGGACGTCGGGAAAGCAAGGTTCAAAGTTGGCCGGAGCTTTCGAGGCTTTTTCCGGCGAATCCACGGCGAGTTAGGGGTCAAGGTAGGTATGGATGTGTTCGTCTCGTCAATACCTTCAATTTGATATATTATACGTCGAAAATGGTTAAGAAACGAAGAAGTTATGACACTTTGAAGTTTTTGCAGTTTTTCCGGCGACGGCGGCGGCGACGGCGCCGGCGGCGGTGACTCGCCGGAGAAGATAGGGGAATATTCCGTTAAGTTTTAACGGAATATTCCTACAGGACTAACGGCGTCAGTTAGGGAATATTCCGTCAGTCAAACGGAATATTCCGTCAGTCAAACGACACGTGGCCGCGCGTGGGGGGCGCGTAGGTCCGTGACTGTTCAGGCCCGTGGGGGCGCGTGCGTGGTCCAAATGGAATTCTGAAAATTGTCACGCGTTCGTGACGTCGTGTAGATCACCGTGGTATATTCATATACCCAATTTGAGTAACGTATGAGAAAGTTATGGACGAATGTTTGGCATATGCGCGTTAAATAACGATAATTTGGTTACTTTTTGTATAGGTGAAAAATTATACAGAGGAAGAATGTAACCAACCTAGGGGAGGCTCAGGGACCTACGAGACGTCAATATGATCTGTGAGTGGGCAGTTTTGTTTTTCGTATATATACGTATGCTTGACGTATTTCCCAGGAAACGTATTTTAAAGGAAATACGAATTAAATATCCTGTCATATATGCATCATGTTTTAATATGTGCATTACCATAATTATGCATATTGTTGCATGGTGCTGAGGAGGCCCAGGTAAGCTACATTTGATATACATCTGATATACGCATGAAATACATTTAGAATAATATTGAATTACGATGGATATACATAGATACCTATATACGTTTATATTTCCAGAAAATGTTATTGTTTCATGTCATGCACCATATGTTTGTCGTTTATGCATCATCACATGCATTTGTAGCGGCATACATTTATATATTTGTATTTGGTGCTGTGGACGCGCAGGTAAGTGCCAGGTAAGTGGTTTCATGTTGTTATACAGTTGTAGTTTGAGATGTTTAGAGAGCTCATTATCTGCACCCCGGTGTCAGTGCTCCCGCCCGTGGCCAGGGCATAGCCTTCACGTGATGTTCACCTCCCGCACCACACGCTCAGCTTGGATCCAAGTCAGGTGCAAAGCCTGTCGTACAGACCACATTAGGTGGTTCCGACTCGTAGGTGACCCGCGATTCGTCGCATAGCTTCACGTGATCGTAGCACTAGAGCGTATATATATTACACCTAGCCTGTCGTACAGACCACATTAGGTGGTTCCGACTCGTGTGCAGATTTAGTTAATGAGATGAGATTGGAGCTCTATAGGCTGCCGTACAGGTCACGTTAGGTGACTCCCGGCTGCTAGATTATATGTTATTGATATGTGTTATGCTTGAGCATTTACATTTTTTTTTATGAGATTCCGATGTGAGTATGATTGGCATATTTTGAGCATAATTGTCATACCTTTGAGATTGATTGGCATATCTATACATACGTATATATGTTTATTTTCTGAGAAGTATACTTGTTTTACGGCGAGGGGTTAGTATATTCAAAGAGAAAAGAAGGTTTTGAATAAGTTTGTTTTACTGACCCACTCAACTTTGTTTTGCGCCCCTCCAGGTTCAAGAATTGCAAAGGTGTGGTGACTACGAGGAAATTCAACGGTGTTCTGACAGAATGGACAAAAATTAGGACTCACTTTTGGGTGTTTCTTCTTAGAAATTATATCTTTAAAGCTTCCGTACTGTGTAAATGGTTACGTCACTCTCACGTGACGGCCAGCATGCCTTCCTTCGGGACGGGGTGTGTCATGGCCCGTATGGGTACACTTTCACTGTATCAACGATACAATACATGAATAAGTTTCTCTTCAATTGACGTTGTTTGAATGACACAAGACGCATATAATCAAGTTGCTCTCCAAGTCTAGGGACTCGAGATTACATAATATCACTGTTATAAAAATATCAGCCTAGCGCCGTCTAGGCCACGCTTAGGCACTAGGAGGATTGGTCATCGCTCCGATTAATTTCAAGACATTTAGAAATTAGGAAAGGACGTCTAGACCACCTGTTTAGGTTGTAACTCTCACTTAGACAAAAAATACATAACTTTTCATTTTGCATTTTTATTTTTTTAATAAATTGTAAGAGCCTTGTTGAATACTTAGATGAACACACATTATGGGTTTATTTCCCATGTTTTCATTATGTTTTAATATACTTTATGATCTATATGTCATTCTATTTTGTATTTTATGAATTCCAACGAAATTATGTATTTTTTGAGTTTAAGCAGACACTTATTTATTTATACGATATATAATAAATTTACTTAAATCCACCTAGCCCTCACTTAGTTACATAGGCGCTAGACTCTAACCCACTGCCCGAGTAGCGCCTACTGCATTTTAGAACCTTGCATTATATGCTAAGCTTAGAGTACACGACAAGCCTTTAAGCTAATATCTTCCAAATACTCAATGGTAGGGAATGAGTGATCATGCATTTCTTAGTAGATGTTTGAGCAAGTTGGTTTTACAATTTCAGCAACCCTTCAATATTGTGTTTAGAAGATGAATTACTTAAAAACAAAACTTATTAATCCCAGTCCTTACCAAAATGGTGAGAGAACGAGAAGTTTCTCCTCTACTTTCAACATGCCTTGAATTTAGAGAGTGATTCATACCAATCCAATCCAATTAATTTTCAATACCGAATTACAACATTTTCTTTTAACTAAAATGATATTACAAATAGATGATATACGATATTTTGAACATATACCGTATCCATAATAAATACCAAAAAGACAGCAATTTCAGTAATAGTAGTAGTAGTAGTAGTAAGAAAAGAGCAGTAACATGTCAAAGACTACAATAATGCGTTCAAGTATCTGTTTCCATTTGTCCTCGAAATATAAAGATACAAAAGCCAAATAATCCCCCTTTTCGACAGTTCACTTTGCAAGAATATTTAGAGAGAGCTTCTGGGGGACTCCGAAAGAATGACAAATTACGTGAAATTTACACGTTAACGAATTGCTTTAGTTTAAAGATGCTTGATCCTCATACGTTAATGGCTAAGCAAACAAAACAATACTTAACGGGCTACAATACCAGTATTGACTAAGCCTTAGGCCGTCAAAGATGCAGATTGAAGCATTTAAGCAATGGCTGACAAAATTTTCTCCTTGTCTGCAGGACGCCAAAACGTCTTCTGAATGCACAGCAAACCCTCATTGTCTTTCGAGTAAGTAAATCGGATGTTCCATTGCAGAGATTTAGCCAGACTCTCAATCTCATTTAAGGTTTCAGCATTGTCCCATACAATTAGTTTCCCTTCTGGCCTCAGTATCCTATCAACTTCTGCAATCGCTGCCACTAAGCTGCATCTGTAGCCACAACACAATAACCACATTGAATCAGAGGAAATGTTCAGTAGATGTCTTTTTTACAAGTCACAAAAACGAAATGTTGTATTACATACCTTTTCTTAAGGACGGAGAATAGATGATCAGCATGTAAAAGATCATAAGATCTGGGGTAGGTACTGAAGGATTCACACCAATCATGATATATCCCAATGAAACCGCGCTCATAGATTATTGGAAGTGTGTCACGAGAGTCAACTGGGACTACATTCATAACCCATACTTTCAAGTCTTTTAGTGCTGCAGCAAACCTACAAGCATTGCGAAAGAAAAGTCAGGCTATGTGAAAGATTTCAACATTCTTCACTGCACTGGAAAAGAAAAGCATTTCGCACAAGCGAATAAGAATCACAAAAAGTAGCCGAAGGAGAGATAATAATATGACATGCAACTCCCACTGATCTGAAATTCTTAAACCATGTGCTTGCATCTAAATCTAAGAGGATGCCCATCAGAATTTTTCACCTTCAGCCACTAAGATGTTAGAAATACAGCATATAATCAACAGAAAAAAGGAGGGGGGAAATAGAAGGCGGGTTAAGAGACAAGGCAGTGATGCTTTCAAAAGGAAAAAGGAAACTAAAAGATTCATAATGGTTTACCCCCCATATACAGCTCTCATGTCCATGACATTCCTTACAGTGGACCAGTTGATTCCCATCCCATTCAAATAGGTCTCAGAAACAACTTTTTTCCAATGCTTGTAGTCAGAAACGAAATCTTCTGGGGCAGATTTCCCATTAACATCAAGCTGAGACTTTAACCAGTATGGTGGTTTCTGCAACCTTGATGGCCATTGCAGAGGCCACTGAGATCCACGGTCTAATACACCTTCCGGGACTTTGTGCATGCATGCCTCCAATGTTACATTCCTGATAATGCAGAAATAAAAAGAATACTTAAAACAGTGTTGGAGATTTAACTCATAGAGACTACTATAGAGGAGATTTCTTAACTGCATGGAGAGGTACTTCAACAATGTAAAGTATTTTCTGAACCGTACATTTGATGGTGCTTAGTAGACCAACTTAGAGTACAGACGAACTTGAAAAATCTATTGACATCAATTTACAATTATTTTTTGTTCAAATGGAACTTATCACCTCAGATTTATTTAGCTACTTAAAAATTACGAGAAGGGAGATGCTATCATTTAAAGTTCTTTCAGTTTTAACACAGTTTGTCAATCTCCCAATTGCAAGTACAACTTAAAGATTTGGAAAGGTATGCATCTCAAGTTCACAACACATGAAGAATTTTCTGCACTACAAAATCCTTCCATTAGTCAACTTCAAAAGTTTTACCAATTATTTTCAGTCTTTCTTTGATGTCATTCCAATTTTAGTACTAGAGGCCACCAATAACAAACATAAAGAAATGCCAATCCTTAAATATTTAGGAAAAAGGGTAAAGTACCAGCCAGCATTTGGATCATCAGATTCACTACAGAGAGGAGGGTCATTGTGTGGTCGTTCATTGTAGCACTCATTGGTAGAGGGTTTTCTATATATGGCAGCAGCCACTCCATTGAGTGTGTCGTTTTTAATCACCACTAGATCCCAGCACATTGACTTTGTTAATTTCGACATAGCTGCCAATAATTACCATGAGAGAGGGGGAAAGAGTACGTTAGATAGAAGCAACCAAAATACAACTAGCTTCGGAGGCAAAACATGAAGTAGGAAGTACCTACCTTTCCAAATGGCAACATCGTCAGGAAGCTTTTGGTAAACAGGAGTAGCAGACCAGACAAAGTAACCACCAGGTCGCAAAACACGATTAAGCTCCAGGAGCAGTTTACCACCTGCAGTGCAACTCAAATTACATTTCTACAAATATATAAGAACTAAAACAATACACATATACACACATAGAAAACAATATTATATATATATATATATATATAATGAAAACATTACCTTCAATATGCCAAGGTACTCTACACCGTGCACAGTGGATAAGATCAAACACAGAACTTGGGTAGGGTAGTCTTTTGGTACCCATAACAGCTGATATGGCGGGGATTCCCCGTTCTAGTGCAAATTGTACTTGGGCTTCGTGCTCATCCTTGGGAGCAAATGACATAGCAAGAACATCTCTTTCAAATAGAAATCCTCCAAAGCTAGCTACACCACACCCAACATCCAATATCACACGGCTTCTTTTACCCCATGCAATATCAGGAAGAGACTACATAGCCAAACAAAATATACGCTTTAAGCATTGAAATATTTAAAAAAAAAAAGAAAAAACTTTCACCAACAAATAATACTATTTTTGTAATATTGGAACTTTGGAGCGGTAAGATAATAATGCTGAAACTAGACTAAGGAAAAGAACAGCAAAAGGAAAGATAAATATATAAGATCAAATGAAGCACAATTGGGTTATTTTAAATCAATATAAGTGCAAAAAATAATCAGTTTGGCTTTCCAAAGAACAGACTTCACACAATGCATGGAAAAATGAAGACAATGAGATGGAGAAATATGAAATCAGATGGAACTGCATCCCATACAATTCAAACCCGCTATCAGGTAATGGAATAAAACTCACGTGTCTTCTTTTAATAGCTGTTGGCTGAATGTATACTACACTATAGAAGAAATGTAGAGTAAACAACGTATGCAACCGAATGTGAGGACAGGACGAGGCAAAATAAGATGATACATCAAGAGGACTCACTTTTTGAATAAAATCAATGTAATGAAGAGCGCCATTCTTAAACTGAGTTCCACCACCAGGAAATGTGAGGTATTCACCGGTAACTTTAACCCAATTTTGGTGCCCTTTAACTGCTGCAAGCTTTGTGTGAGGGACATTGTGGTACCATATCTGCATCATGCACCAAGAACATATTTCAATTTCAAAGATTTAAAGAGGTAACTGTTAATGTTCTACTAGACATATGATATACCTTTTCCCTGCTTGTGGGCCACTGAATGGGCCGTTTATATCCTTCTGGTAGAGGAACAAGACAGGTAGAGGCTTCATCAGGGCAGTGCCTCTCTCGGTGTTCATAGTGGCCTGTGCTTGGAAGCTTCCTGATTGATCCCCAATTGTCAAGACAAGGGATGTAGTCTGGCCCAGCCGTGACATCACAGACTTTCCACTTCCGTTCATCATGCTCACTCTTATGTTCATCTGACAAAGATTGTTGTGTTTCTTTTGCATTCAGCGACTCTATGACTTCAGTCGACCCTTGCTCAGTTTCAGCTGTAGTTTCCTGGCCTTCTGTTTTACTACTGGTATCACTTTCTTCCTGATCTTTCTCAACCTTTTCCTTCTCATTCTGACCAGTAGCTTCCTCTTCCTGCTTTAATTCATCAGAAGTTTCCTCTACAGATGTCTTTGTGCCTGAACTCTCCTCCACCTCTGTTTTTCCAGCTTCGGAATTGGACTCCCCATCTCCCGAACTAGCTTCTTGATCATTTATTTCCCCAATCTTTGTTTCCTCTTTGGTCTCAGGTTTCTCATCAGATCTCTCTTCCACAAGCTTCTCTTGCTGATTTCCCTCACCACCATTGTCACTTTCTGGCTCAGTCTTCTCCTCAGATCCCTCCCTTGAAACCAATTCTTCCTGTTTTTCTTCCGTTGTATTCACAGACCCATCCTCAACATTTTGGTCATTCTTAATATCCGAATGACTTTCACTCTGCAAATCACTCCCATTTTCATCCTCTTTTGTTACAGTTTCTGATAGTTCCCCCAAACTGTCTTCAACTTGCTTCAAATTTTTATCAGTTATCGTTTGCGGTTTTACCTCATCCACAGTCTCCTCAGACGATGTCCCTTGATTCTGAATCGGAACAACTGTTGACATCAACATCCAGACCCCGATTAAACAAAACGCAACAAAAACAACCAGACTAGTCGTTGAACAGCAATTCCACGACTTCCTTCCATCAACTCGGGAATACTTCCCCACAGCCATCTTTACGATGTGAAGATCGATATCCCAAGTTATTAAATCACCTGAAAAGGGCAATAACAAGACAGACTCAGCTACCAATCGAATGGTGTTACTGTTCTCACTTCTCAAAGACTGTTTCTTCAAGGTGATATAATTTGCCCTAGGACTTTGATAAGTAAATTACTGATATAGCAAACTGAATCATCCAAAGAAACCAGATCCATCAATTAACAAGAAAAAGAAACCCAGAAATCTGAGAGGTAAAAGATAACTTTTTTCTGTTGGACATCAAACAGAAAAACGCACTGTTTGGCTGGTGAGAAAGGTGATTATAACCCATTTCTCAGCACCAAAAAACCCCAACAAACAGAAACGAGATTGGTGGGTTAACAATAACAAGAACGCAATGTTTGGTTGGTGAGAAAGTTGAGGAAAATACAAGCGAAGTGATACAAACTACATACTGGGAATATTCAAAAGCTACAAACATGAATGTCTTTGCATTAATTCGTCAGAAAAACAAGAGTACTTGGACCATCAAAACAACCAAAACGAAGATCTGATCAAATAATGACAACCGACATAATACACGAGAAGATTTAGAGTGAGAGTTTCCTTACTTGGCCCAGTGGGTGATTGAAGAAGTGTAGGGTCCTGCTGCTTCTCACTCCATTACTAATTTGTAGAGAGAAAGAGAGGGAGAGAGCCGGTCGGTCACTCAGTGGGGGGTCTCTCAGATTTATAATAGAAGCCGTCTCTCCTCTTCTACTACTATCTCATTTGGAGGTCTCTTTCATTTCAATTGCCTTTCACCATCACCATTGAATATTAAATTAAAGGATAAAATAATCGAGTGAGGAAAGGAAGCATAGGATTCTCAATGTGACAGGTACACGAAATGGTATATCACGTATCATTATATAAATAATAGAATATATGTATTAAAAAATTAATATCTTAAAAAATACAATTTCTCACTACTTATATAAAAACACGTGTATCTTCGTGCCACAAGAAAAAAATTTCGAAGGAGAGGAAGGTGGAGGGAGATCTACTTCATTTTCTATATACGCTTTTTCGTGGGATCTGGAAATTCCAGCTAATGTTTAGTTGACAAAACATAAGAGAGCCAATAAAGTCCAATGTGCAGTGTACTTACCACCAGACGAGATTTATATGTAGAGACGGTGATCCACCGGATTCTCTTCATACCAAAACTTTAAAAATAATACAAGAAATTTATTATTATTTATTTTTTCCTTTCCTTCATTCCTTATTTATTTGAATGGTCATGATTAAGTAACGTCAACATCTTATATTAATTTTTTATAGAAAGAGAAAGACAAAATAGATAATGTAATAAGACAGAATGAAAGAGGATGAAAAGATAATCCTAGTCCAATCTTTAGAAGGGTTGAAGCGCAAGAATTAACCTCACATCAAGTAAGAGCCACAAGACGTGGCAATCACGACACATGGCTATTCCCATGATTAGTGGGAGAATTCATCCAACTTGGGGGCAAGCATTACACTATAGGCGGCAACACCACGCTAAACACATTCAATCCCACATGAATCAGCTCCACATCGAAAGTTGGTGAGTGTATAATCAGATTTCTAAAGTACGCGTATTCTGATCCGCCTTAATTCGACCCTAGAAAATCATATTCTATTGCCTGCAATTATGGCTAATTACATAATAAGGCAGTAAGTAACTAAATATCAAGTTACAATACTTGACAGAAGATTGTTCATCTTCTATCTTCAACTCTCGGAAATGATTCGGAGGGAAATGTCATTGCGTGTAAGGTTGAAACATGAATCTACTGTCTAGTTTGTCGGTGCATGCTTTGAACCTTCGTTGATAATACTTGTTGAGATTTTGATATGAGGTAACATTCAGAAGTACTTGGAGGACTAGCGCCTTGCTAAGTTGGTTGACTTTGGCCACGCAAAAGAAGAAATATCAGGAGCCATGGCCTCTGAGGCCGGAACCTGTAGATGGATGGCTCATCTGCATGGCTCTTGAGTTATTCACCCCATAAATGGAGTGCCAATAACGTTACCTTAAAACAAAAATAAGAATTCAATTAAATAAATGAACAACTGAATACATGTATAACTTGTCTTCAATCAATTTTAAAAGATAACCAAATTGTTGTTTTTTTTTTTTCGTCAAAAAAAGATAACCAAATTGTTAGAAACGCCAAAAAAATAAGAGGGAAAAGTTCAATTCACCCTTCTTTTTCTTTTATTTAGAGAAAAAAAAGGGTATTAAAAAAGATATAAAAGAGTTGTTTAAGTTAGGAATGATCGTTCTCTTTGCTAGATAAAGACCTAGATTCGAGTTCCGTACCAGTAATACCTCTTGACTAAACCAAAAAATGGGCTAAGGCCTGGCCTTGGGATGGGTAACTTACCCTCCCCTACACTTTTTTTCTCAAAAAAAAAAAAAGACCGAATTTAATTGCACATTATCTAGTGGATAGTGTGTTGGGTTTCTATTTATGCGTCCTAAGTTCGAAACTCCTCCTTTCCCTAAATTATTGTATTAGTTTCGAACTCTTTCCTTTACTTAGTAATAGTAAAAAGTTACACACAATGTTATAAATAAAATTATAATTAAAATATACCTCTAGTAAATCATGAATGCGATCTTGGAGAATCATGCATACGTCAAACCCTTTAGAGATGGATTCATATTCCGCCTCATCTCGGAGGCCTCAATACCTTGCATCATTTCTCTACATTAATCAAAATCTAAAGAAATTCAAATCAAGTTTATAATTGTGCACGAACGTTGGAAGTCAAAGATTCCTTTTATTGGTAAAGAGTGAGGGACTGAACGATGGTTTTGAAAATACAGTGGGCATATATCTGTGCGTGACATTATGTTTTGATAATTCTAATATGGTATTTATTTATTCCAACCAATTTGGAAAGTGAGCCCGGTAGACATTACCATATATTTAGTTCATACTTATCTTTATATTAAGAGTAAATTGTAGTAATAATTCATCAACTTTAATCCAATTGCAGCAATGGTTCCTTAACTAAAAATTCATTATCATTGGTTCCTTAACTCATCAAAATGTACAACTACAGGTCATTTTTGCCAACTCAATTAGAACTTTTGTCAAATGAATTACGTGAAACACACAAGAGGCTGAATCAATGGGCAAATATGTAAAACCAAATGTGAAAATTGTAGCAATGATCACTCAACTTTAATTCAATAGGAGAAATGGTCCCTCAAATTTAGCCCAATTGGAGCGATGGTCTCTCAACTTTAACCTAATTGTGTCAATGATCTTTCCAACGTGGCTTATTTTGATGAAATTGACAAAAAATGTCATAGTTACATGTTTTGATGAGTTAAATAACCAATAGTCAAGGATTTTTATTTGAAGGACTATTGCTCAAATTGGATTAAAGTTGAAGGATCATTACTACAATTTTCTCTTAGATTAATTACTCAATCAAAGACATAAAGATATGAAAAAGAATTTGCACAAGGTCTTTATAGATTTGGAAAAAACATATGATAGATTCTCAAGAGACATTCTTTGGAGGATTTTAGAAAAGAAATGAGTACAAGTGATATATATCCAACTTATAAATGATATATATGATGGAGTAAGGACTGCTGTAAAAACTCATGAAGGACAAATCGAAAGCATTCCCCATAACTATAGGGTTACATCAAGGCTCATCTTTAAGTCCTTACCTTTTTGCATTGGTAATGGATGAGCTAACATGAAACATTCAAGATGATATTCTTTGGTGTATGCTTTTCGCAGACGATATAATGTTGATAGATGAAACTCAGGAATGAGTAAATGCGAAGCTTAACTTTTGGAAAGAAGTGTTGGAATGTAAAGGTCTTCACCTAAGTCGGTCAAGGACAGAGCATATGAAGTGCAAGTTCAGTGTAAATGGAGGCTCAAATGAGTTAGGGGTGAGGATTGGAGATTAGAAAGTACCAAAGAGTGACCGCTTGCGCTACCTAGGATCTACCTTGCAAAAGAATAAAGGGTTGGATGGAGACCTCAACCATAGATACAAGCTGGATGGATGAAGTGGAAGAGTGCATCAGGTGGGTTGTGCGATCGTTGTATGCCGCTAAAGCTCAAGTGAAAATTTTTATTGGATGGCAATAAGGCCATCAATGCTTTATGGCACAAAACGTTGGGCGGTGAAGCATCAACACATGCATAAACTGAATGTAGCGGAGATAAGAATGCTTTGTTGGATGCGTGGGCATACGAGAAATGACAAAATTAGGAATGAGGATATCTGAGATAAAGTAGAAGTAGCTGAAATTGAAGGAAAGATGAGAGAAAATTGGTTACGGTGGTTTGGACATGTGAAATCAAGGCCTATAGACGCTCCGGTTAGAAGATGCGATTACGAGACAGAGGTTCAGGGCCGAATAAGTAGAGGAATACCTAGGAAGACTTTGGAAGAGACTCTAAGAAAAGACTTAGAGTACTTGGATCTAACAAAAGACGTGACGCAGAACGAAGCGCAATGGCGTTCTAGGATTCATAGGTTAAAGGCTTTGTTGTCATTGTATTAATTACTCAATCGACGCATGAATCTTCACAATATTTAAATTATGTCAGACATGATGTAAAGAGAAAGAAGAAAAATAAGAAAAATAGGGAAGAAAAATAAAATTAAGGTAATTTACAATTACATACTATCCTTGAATATCGAAAATAATTTAATACATTAAAGGTTTATTTGGGATTGCATGTCAAGCACAAAACCCGCATTTAGTAAAACTTACTAATCCAAAGAGCAAGTTAAAATAAATAAATAAAATAAAATGATAAAAATGTGGGAGTGAGAATAATAAGAGTTTATTTTATTTTTTATTTTTTGACCAAACGATATTATTTACATTAATTAAAAAAATTCTAATAAAGTAAAACAAAGTTTATTTTAAAATATTTAAATAATTAAAAGTGCTTCTAATAGTGTGAAAAAAATGCACACATCATTTAGTTAAAGTAGCACCGACAAACGAACGCGTAAACATCCCTCTTCTGCAACAAGGGAAGGGATTGAGGGTCATAATGGAAGTCACTTTTGATGGGAACGTGGGGCCTTGGCCCCACCTTATTCCAACCATATAGAAATTGGCCATGATGCAATCTCAACCGTTTAAAAACAGTGACAAGCCTGACCGACACAACCTTGTGCCCACCAACAGCTGATGAATGTTGGGTGTCTTGAGGAAGCTGATGAATGTTGTAAGGATTCTGTCAAGAAATTTGACCCTGTTGAAGTTGCTGCTAAAGTGGAGTTTGCGCTATTTGAAACCTGGGTGCTCATCCAGTGAGTCTACCGCATCAAGCTATATGTAAATTCCTGTGGAGCCCTTCGATCAAAGATCTCCGCAGAGAAGTCCTTCTTGGAAAGATGCCACTAAAGAGGTTGGTTTGCATGTCCAATGAAGTACACGAGCCATGTGGTTTGGAGGAGGATCTTTATGCGTGAAACTATGACTGGATGCAGTGTTGATCCCTTGGAATTCAAGTTGTGGTGTACTTTGACCTATACGCGATATTCTGCTTATTTCTACTTTGTGTGTAAGGATATTATTATGTGTGAAATTTGGCAAAAACCCACTTGTTTTTAGTGGAACGGTCTTCTTGTAGGAAATAATAATATTTAGTCAAAATTTTATATGAAGAAATATAAGAGAAAGACTTTTAAGGAAGAAAAAAGTTATATATGTCACCATCATCTTACCATAGTCATCACAACTAACACTCATCTAT